ATATGTGCCCCTACCCCTTTTATCATTTATCCTCGTGCGTGTGTGTGTGCAGTCCAACGGGTTCGTCGCTCGTGTGTTATCGCGCCCGGGTCATTAGACTTGTGCGAGTCGCTTACAATGTTTTACAGGATGTATACACTTGTACGGTCGGCAAGATCTCTGAACGCACTATATTATACAATAAAGATGATGACATTAATTGTCTACACCCTGTACACGCGTTGCGAGTACCGCACGGCAATACGGGGGGATGATCGGCCGGCGTTTAACATAATATTATTAGCTGCCGGTATTATTACATTGCATTGGTAGACGGTCACAACACATATATTATAAACGTGCTTATTTAGTTGTGTGACTGAGGTTTTTGTTCTCTGCGTACTGTGTTTTCCCGACTTAAAGGGGTTTCGTTTTGTGAGAAAAGAACGCCGGGAAAGGGGAACGATAATCTCGAGAATGGAGTCGACGACAGTATTATGTACCCCGACAAAGTTCGCCAAAGGATTTGTCGTCCGGTCGGGGGCGTAGGACCCTAAGCTTTACGGAATTCGGAAAACCTGTAAGAAGCACCGCATTTCCGTGCCAATAAACAGATAATGCCATTCCACGAAGTCTATATTATGTTATCCTACGGGTTAAGTTGCTTTGTGCCTCATAAGTGGCCAACAATCATATGAATAATATATTTTTACTTTTACACGGGTATATTTTTAATCAAAAATAAATGCTATTTGGACGTACACACTAAACGGCTGTCTTGTAATATTGGCTACTTGTAATAAACTAAATATTCAAGTTTGGCCTGGTAGTCGTGCAACAATTCAGTCCAGTGGCCTGTCTATCTCTACACCGCGATGTGTAATTTAAAGTCGATTTCCACGACAGAATATTATCAATGAAAATAAAAATATAGGTTGCACTTGGTCGGCGCGCGGGTTACCACTTATTTCCAACCGTCTAACCCTTTTCGACTGTCTTGACGACCGCATAACCCGTATTATTATAATAGCATTATACATGTATAATAATAATAATAATAATCCGGTAGCGCCTTGAAAAGTGCTCCTTTGATCTATCCGACCCTCATCCATTGCCTACTGTCCTACTTGTAGTGTAGTGTAAAATAATACAGGTGTATATTATTATGTGCCTTTAATTTGTTCTATACTCTAAACATATAGTTGTTGTTCAACATCAAAGTCGGTGATGATTAATCGAGTGAATTAAATAAAAAACTAAAACAGTTGCCATGTACGAACTAACCATCGTTGTAACATACATACTAATATTACGCTATCTGAATAGCGAAAATCTAGCCAAGTGAATATGGTAATTTGTTTGTATTATTATTTGTTGCTACTGCAGACTGTTTTTAGATATAATATGACATTATTCTACTAGCAATATCCGAAAACTAAGCTCCATAAGAAATTGTTAGCACAGAATTTCGTTTTCCGTCAAAATCCGTCAAATCTGAAATTAAAAAAAAAACTTAAAACCTTAATTGGAAAACGAGCCGGTTCTAATGGATTACATATTTTGTTTGAAAATTTCCTTTGAATCTGAAATGTACGCAGTATAGTGTACTGCTTTTTTTTTTTTTTTTAATACAGAACCAATGAGGGGGAACTGTTTTTCACATGACTTCCCCTATTGTGTACTGCTATCGGATTCAAGGCTTCGGCGAAAATGCCTATTTTTTATTGTTGAACGTGAAGTTAATACCGGTTAACAAGTTATTATGTTTGAATAGTAATTTGAAAACCGAGTCTTTATCTGTCGCACATGAACTTACCAGTAATGATGTCGACCAGTAAAACATATTTAAATTTCAATATTTTATGATATGAAGGTTGATCGAAATAGTGTCATTTTTATTATCGAATATCGCAAACCGATAACGAAAGTGCCGAGTTTTTGTGATGCTGTTAACTCATGATGATGTTGCCGATAATAATAATAACAACAAAGACAGTGTTGTAAAAAAAAAAAACATAAGACGCAACAGAGAGTTTATGTCCTGTCGGTAACGCGAAGATTGCATAATATATGCTTGAAATGAGCGATCAGCAATAATTGCTATTGAAATCAATTGTTATTTTCCCTTATGAATCTGATATTACAGTCGAAAACGTCGAAACTGGGTCTATCGACCACCTTTATATTAGTGAGACCGAAATCAATTGATTAGTTTACTCGATAATTAAATAAAAAAACTATTGAAATTGTGTTAAGCCATTTTTACTGCAATGAAGTTGTTCGACGGACCATTCTATATCTTACAAAAAGGCGATGCTAATGTTTTGCTGATTATTGCTCGGATTGTGATGATTTCGAATTATGTGAGTTCGTGTTTGAAGATATAATTAATGCTTTCTCAACACCGGGTAATGCATTTCCATTTATTAATGTTGTGAAAATAGGGTGTGGCGATGATTCGTATTTTACTATAAAGTAATTAAATAAATAAATTGGTTAAAAATAAAATGAATTTTATTAATTATGAAATTAGTTCATCCGATTAATCAATTTTATTACATAATAAGATGTTTTTTTGGCCATTCAGCTAATCAATAAAAAATAAATGATGCGTGCATAACCGCCCATCAGATAGTTTGGCGCCGCATAATTTAACCAAATTCTGAACTAGATGGTAATATTCTTATAAAAATTTGATAAGCGTCATTAAAAAACTTGAACTAATTTTTATAAGAATAAAGAGCTTGTCAGTGAAAATTATATAATTCGTTTCACGGTTTATTTATAAATATATATTGGTCTCATGGTGAGACTCTCATTAAATTAGTTTATTTTATATGATGTAAATTGTAATTCATTATCTTTTCAAAAACATATGTTTATAATATGTAATTTGATTGCTAATCACAGTTTAATGGTATACTCTAATTTTTTTTAATTACAGATGCTTCGCACATTTATTTTAATATCGTTTAACCGTTGAAAATAATTACAGTTGTACACTAGCTAATAAATTACCCAATTATTGTTGCGCTGAATTTTCGTTTACTTAATAAATACAAATATTTTTCAGCAGTTTTTAAACGAATTTAAAACAGGTTTTTGAGCCGAATCGCTTGCAAATCAGATTACCGAACTCCCAGTTGTTGTTTTACAACAAACCAAGGTCTTAACGAGTTGCACTTATGCAAAATTTAATTGAAAATTTGATCCCTCGTCGAGAATCGTATATAGATTCAATTTTCTTTAAAGGACATACTTAGATAAACCTTAGCGTACAATGCTTTGCGCTTGTTGATTTCAACATTTCAGAGTTAACAAAAGGTTTTTGTCGGGATAGCGATAGTGATATTATACGGTGATAAAAATGAGATGACATTTTGAATGACATATTATATACAGCTACATTATACAAGGCGACCAGAGGTTGTTGCACATCGGACGATACATTATATTGTGTCCTCCGAATGGTCCAAGAGTCAGGTAAGCACCTCCGCTCGCTATACTTCAGGCGGTGCTCGAAATTGCGCACTTATCCCTTTGTAAGGCGTTTCGTTTTTTTATCTTTATTGCAAAGCAACGGGTCCTCGGTAGTCGTTCGGGTTTACGATTGTGTGTATACATAAATATCTATTCGAATGGCCGTCGAAAACTTTAACATGATATTGTGAAAATCATAATATATATTATAATATGTATTATGCAACGACGTACAACATTTTTTCAAAAACGTTCTCCTCTCCCGTCCGCTGCGGCGGCAACTTATGGCCAGCACATAATTCCGGTCGAGTTACCTGCACTATAGCGAAAAATAATTGTTCGCATACATCATCGCGACTTACACATGTGCACCACAACAACAACTATGTTTATATGTATACATGGATATAATGTGTATAGGTTTTGTATGTAAAAGAGCATACCCCAGAAGACTCGTAAATCACACGAGTCTAGTCCGCGACCTCCTCTTCGGCGTTTTCCTTTTTTTTTTTTTTCAAAATGCGCACACACACATAATATGCACATTACACGATATTATTATCCTGGAAATACTGCATATAAACTCTAAACTATGTTATATACCACTATACATGCCTCTCTCGTGCATGTACACATTGTATCATTGTACAACAACGGTCATAATATCAAGTGTACGCATATAAAGGCACTGCACTCGAAACTGGCTTTTGCAATTAAACGAAGAAGAATGTAATACAATTATTGTCCTACCTCCGTTCCGCTTTGTTGCAACGATAACGTGTTGGCGAAGTCAGTCTAGTGGATAATAAAAAAAAAAACAAGATTTATTGTACTAAGAGTATTACGTTTAATTAACTGCAGACATAAGATTGTAGGTCACGACGAACGAGTACAAATTAGTTTAAATTTAAAATTATAATAACGACAAATTACAAAACGCGTACCTACTTGAATGCATTCGACCAATTTACAATATTATTACAATTATATTGACCGATTTAGTTGTAATAATAAAATCTCTACTAGTCTAAAATGAGTGTACCTATGGATATTAAAATGCTCACTTCGAACTTGATCAGCATAATAATATTATAATTTCTAAACATTCATATATTCATCGGAGGCGTGTTTGCGTTTTATTAAACAAACGAAAAGACGATTTTTTATTTATATTTCAGTATCGTTAAAACGGGAAATGTTTAACCGCATGCAACTGCACGGTCGGTAATAATTTTTCGATTAGTATGCGTACTGCTAATATACACCTATATAGTGTATACGCCTCTGGTGATATATTTAGACAAGTTCGACGTTAACAAATAGGCGAAAATGAAAAAAATATTAGGCGTAGTCCCAAACTTTTATCCTCGCTATTAATCTTATAGATAATATTCACAGTGTGGTGCGATCAAGGAATTCGTTTCTGTGGCGACTACGACTATACATATAGTATCATTTTATTTGACACCGTTCAGTGCGGAATCAAATTTATTGTGTACATTTTTTTTAATCGAAATATTTGTTTTTTTAATTTTTTACAGAAACATTATGGCAGCCAAAACCATATCGTTGTTGATGGCGTTGTCGGCGACTGTGGCACTCGTGTCCGGTTCACCTCCGCCGTTCGTAAGTGCACTATAACACATACCTAATAATACGATGCTGCTATTATGATAATATTATACATAATTTAAGTACTACTAAACCGTTTGGGAGGCAATAAAAAAATGTATAAAAAAAAAAAAACAACTCACTGCGGGGGAATCTCATTTAAATTTTAATTGCTTCGGCGGCAGCTAATAACAATTATTATTACTATAACCGACATACGTGTATAGGGTTTGTTGTCACGTTTCACAATCGCTGCGGCCGTTCTCAGTCCGGCCTCTACCGATTATCATACATACATATTTATATATATATTTCCGTATCTACGGTTTAATTAATCATATTCGAAAAAAAGGGGGGGGGGAGGTCTTCGGCTACTGTGGCGAAACGCGCATTAGACTCGGCAGAGAGAAACCGTAAACCGAGATACGGAAGACGATGGAACAGGTTTACAGTGGGGAACCCGTATATAACATTATAATATTCTATACCTTATTATGTGCGCATAGGTAGGTACTTAGTGTGATATAAGGTAGAGGTACCTAACCTATACGGTGTACGATTTTTGGGTCGTGCCGAAACATTGACGGGTTCAAAAAACGCGGGGCCGTCCATTATAATAACATTGTGACGTGCAGTTGGTGCCGCTCTTTAAAGACCGGATCACGCGGACGTATTTTTTTTATTTATTATTTTCTTTTTTAGATGCACTTAAATATTAAAATTGACCGTCGTCGCCGTCGGGTGTGAATTTGACGTTGAATAGCCCGTATTTAATATACACGGTGTGTGTAGCATTAATGGCTCCGATCGGGGAGCTGTGTGTTTGTTGTAGACACTTTTCTTTACAATGATAAAATAATATAATATACATGCGTGTTATAATGTATACATAATATAATACCATGCATGATAACGACGGTCGTTTCGTAGGGAAAATATATACAAGTAATAATAAAAAAATAAACATGAACATTGAAGTGACAAATTCGATGGGCCGTAAAACGGCCGACCGTTAATTTGCTTTGGGCATATTATGGTAACCGAAATTTTAATTACATCACACTGCCCCCCCCCCCCACGACAAATGGCCGGGCTCCGAGTACATCGAAATAATAGCCACAAAATGTAGTTAGTGGTAAACCTAAACATATAACAAATCACTTGTGACCCGTAAAAGTGTTATACGACACCGAAAATAAATTTCAACAACGGTGGAAGGGGGGTGTTTTATGGGAGGGGGATATGCCGTTTTTAGCTAACTCTTTTTTTTTTATGATCCAATTTTAGTAACACTGTGAAAGGTTCGAAACGCCGTCAAAACAACAGCCGAAGTTTCTAAACTAGTCCAAAATTAAGATGGACAGCATTTACGACGTTTAATTAATTATTTACTGGGTATAAACAAAATTCAATTAGTTGATTTTTAATGAAAAAACAGCAAATTGAAGAATTATACGCTTAATGAGCTATTTGTTGGTACCTACCTATCAGCTAACATAAAATTATAATTAACAATATATTAAAAAAGACAATTCCTTTGCTTTAAATTTTAATTAAAAATTGCCGTTAAATTATAATCAACTAATTTGATTATATTAATGCGTTTTAAGCGTGGAACTAAATTTTATATTCATAAATGAAAAAATATATACTAATTTAACACAGTTGTATAGGTTTTTTAATTCCTAAGATTTTGATCACAGTTCCGGCATTTATTAAAGGGCTTAAGAGTAATTTAATAAACTATTAAAAATGAAATGGAATGAATATTAATTGTATTGCTGTTATTTAAGTAACAATATATTATATATTTTTTTTATTTTCAACGAGATTGGTATTTGTTGAACATTATTTATTATTCGATGATACTTAATCGAATGTACAATTAAATATGTTTTAACTCTTTTAACTAACTTTTTTGAATGTCAATAAAAAAATATTATCATTTAATTACCAACAAATTTTTTAGCGTTTGACTTTCAACTTTGCCCTTGAAATGGTAAGCAAAATGCATGGTATGGGAGAAGGTATTTATTATTATACGAATAATGTCAACCAGCCATTTTTTGTGTATTGTTTGTGAGATAATAAAATCGTTTTACAAAATTATGGGGGAATTTTCATTATAATATATTTGTAAATTGGACGCAATATTGAAACAGTTTTTTAAACCTAGACTACACCTGGCCTCAAATGGAAAATGTTAAGGGAGCGCACAATATTTTTAATTAATAGTATTATAATCCTATAATCAATTAAATTTATCTGGATGGCGGAAGTGGGCGTTAGTTTAAATTTGACCATGGGCAAAAGAAATCCGTTCGTATCAGATAAGCGGGAAAAATATAGAGTAGAAGTTTCTTTTTACCTTTAAAATTAAAAATAAAACAATTTATTTTTAAATGAATATTGCCTGACGTTAGATGTTGCCTAACGCTAATCGTCAATAAGTTTTTAGGTTTGTTTATCACGTTAATCCTTTAAAAAAAAAAGTAATAAGTATAACAGTAATAATAATAATAATAAATGCGAGTAAGGATATTACGTTTAATACGGTTAGCCTTTTAATTAAAAATTAAAACGTCCGCCGTAATTAAGCATTTTTTACACTACCTAAAAATTATTATAATTAAGTGGATTAAGTGATTAAAAAAATCATCGGTCTCGTTTGACAAAATGTCCCGTATTAATTTGTTCGGTATTTTCCATAAATTATTTTTCCTCGGTCCGAACGGCTTTCCCAAAGGCAGTTACTATTTCAGGTTTAATTTCACCTATTTTCACGGTCAACGCCCACATCCGACTATAATGTTTAAAATAAAATAAATTATACCAAAGTCTCGAGGCCGGGTTTTTTATTTCGTTCAAAGCTACGCTGTTTTTTAATCACACCAATAAAATAAAAATAAATAGTAGCAGCTGATGTTGAATAATTTATGTGAGACACGGTAACCAGAGTGGTTTGATATCATTAAAAAATAAATAATCTTAAAATATCCATTATTAGTCGAAACAAATAGGCGAGGCCTGCTAATGAATATAATAGAATAATATTATTTTTGTTTCTTACACATCACACGGGCGTACATGGGAATATTATTATAATCGTCCAATATTTTCCTGAACAACTCCAAAGACAAACGCGTTAAATGTGTTATGTTTTTTAATTTACATGTGGCACCCATTATTTTTACCGTTTACAAGCGGCACGTGGACGTTTAAATGACCATAGTGATGTGAGGTCTACATAATATCCCATCAATAGAGAGTAAAATATATCATTATATACTATTATTTTTAAATAATCGAATAATATGATTTATAAGGTAGCTGTTGTGAAATAAATATAAATATTTATATAAAAGCGCTTAAAAGTTATTTGTTCAGCGGACTGTCTTCGTTGGCGAGTGTGTAAATGTTTATGAAATTAAAAGCCAATTGTGTAGATATTATAAACGTTGAAGTAGTTAGAAATGGTAATGTAGGATAGAACTGGGTTAAAATATTATATTATACATTTCACGTTATGTCTTGAGTGTTAAATCGTATCGCTGCAAAACTTAATTACATTGGCAAATGTTGCAAACCGTAGTAATTCGTATAAATAAAAAATACAACACACTTTTTTGAAAAAAAGCCCTATTAATATCTTTAGCTGAGCCGAATTTATTCAATGTGTATCCGATTCAAACGCATCGAACAAATAAAAATGATGACGATGACGGTGTCTTTATATTATATAACATTATATTATAATATTGTTAATTTTTTATCATATAAAATAATCCTAGAGTTGTAGGCGGACACTTGTGCGGATATAAGATCACCGCCGCTGTCGTCAGGACTCAGGCGAATCGGACACACACATATATATATATAAAAAAACAGCAACAACAACAAAGTCGTTACCGAAATAGGGTTTTCCATCAATTTCGGTTTGATCGAGTGGTCCGTCGCCTCCCCTTCTGGGTCCTGTCAAATTGTAAACGTTCTGCACGTGTACACACATCCGATCCATCGGAAAGCTCGCAAACAGTTGTAGTGAAAATACAAACCAACAGTATATATTTTATATAAATGTACAACAATAATATTTAAAAAAAAATACTTCTGCCTTTGTATAACACAAAAATGTATCGGTCGTCGGGTTTGAGAGAATTTCGAACACACCATTTTGCTCTTGACGACAACCGATCGGGTTATGAAGTTTAACAATGTTAACATAACCGCACAGTTTCGACAATGAATAGTATCTACACTTCTAACTATACATGATTGTATAAAGTTATACAGACTTTTACAAAGTTACAGTACGTCCCTAGTGTGGTGGATTATTTTCCGGGACTCTGACGATTTTTCCTCCTTGTTAGTTCCACTGGTTAGCAAAGGAAGACTATTATCCTACCTGAAACAATGTAATCGACATTTTCAACAATGTCATCTGTGCAGTTGTAAATGAGCCGGCTGACTTGCGGACAGAAGCCTTCTTCTCCGGTACAGGTGTAATGGTCCGGAATGTTGTACCTTCGTCGACGGTAGACGTGACGGTGGTGTAGAGAAAATGCAAAAATATATATTATATAAGTCCAAGAATGCGATCAAATGATTCCGCTTTATTGTTTTTTGCCGACAAACGCTGCGTCAGTTCGTCAACGGCGGGTTCTCGGTATGCCGCCGTAAACTGTCAAGTTATTACTTCTCACCAAGTCGCTATGCAGTTAAATAATAAAAAAATTTAAAAAACGATTTTTTCGTAATGAAAATATACTCGTCTGTCGGTACTTTCAAAACGCGTTCTCATTCGAGTTAAGCTCAACGAATTGGACAGTTTTTTTCCCACCGCCGTTGCTGTGTTTCTCTAATCCGGATTTAAATTATTACGTCACACTCGCACAAGACACAAGAGATGATGATGGGACCAAGCAAGCAAGTTGCTGTATACGTTCCTGATACGCTCATTAAACCTTACCAAGTCCTTAGACCGGCTGCCAAACATTATTGTTTCCATTTAATCACGATTATAGCACCTGATTTATCAACCTCTCGTCGTGTAAGTACACCGTTATACTCTTGAGCCTCTCTAAGCGTTTACTTGAATAAAAAAATCATCAACAATATCATTTATTGTGTAGCTCTTCCGATACTCTGTTAAAACAATTTGTCTTTATTGTTACAAAAGTAAAACATTATTTACACGCAGCTAATTATCGCATCTATTATACATAATCTACAGCTAAACGGTTGACTATAAAAATAATTTTGTACTTTTGTAAATATTATGGTTCAACGTATATGATATATATAATACTATTGATATCAAAAAAACATTTAAATATTTCTATTTGCAACCGGCAGTAAGTCTGACATCAATAATTTTCAGATTATTATTTTATCGGATTGAGTCAAACGGTGACCAAACCATTTCAAGTTTTGGCAAAATCAAAAGGTAAATGTCAAAGGAAATCCAACTTTTATACAGTATTTCTGATAAAAGTCTTGATGCATTGAAATTGTGATGAATTATTCGTTTTTTAATATTTTTTTTTTACCAGAGGCAGGCCAACTCAGCGGTAGGCCTATCACTGTTGAGCTTGTGGCTGGTAGTACCACGTCGAGACTAGTAAATGTTTTAATGCGGAAATTGGAAATTGTTTTATGCAAATTTCGTGTGTCGATTCTTTTATCCATTGTCATAATAATTGTCTTATTTTTTTAACTAGTTTTACGCGTTTGTCCGTGAATTTTTTTTTTTTTTCAATAAATGATTGGCTTAACGCAGGTTTAGTTGTAACTATTATTGTTCGTCCACGAAAACTCATTATCTGGTTATAGCTCTCGATTTGGCCTTGAGTGTTATTGTATTATATTTTCTACTACCCCGGGACTGTAATACACACACACACAAAATATATATATATAACCGATCTTAGCGCCAGGTATCAATTATTGGTAATCAGAGACGACTTCCTATCCCTGTCTACCCATGCACCCTACGCGCATTTGCCACAGCGTATTATAAGTGTAACTTAACCAGCGCAACAACGGTCAGACACAAAATATGTACCATAAAAAAAAAATAATAATAATAACGAGCCGAGTGGTCGGGTCAATGCCTATATCCAGTGTCATTATACTGTTTTCCTGCTAGTTGCACTGACCTTAGTCCTTACGGCGATCCTATAGTATTATAGCGTTTATCGTACAGCCGCAATAATTATTCCTATAAATCCTAAACGACTTCACTTTGAGGCTCAAATCTTGCACCTTATGGCATAACCTTGAAATTGATGACCTCATATTTTTACGCGTTAAATATATGCATTTCTTTATGCACACGCCGTACCTGAGTAAATTATAATAATGTAATGTAGTAAATTAAAAGAGATTGTACAAGTCAGATCATTATCGTTTCTGTATAACCAGCTTAACGGAATATTTAATTAATATTATGTAAATTAAATCGCATTACAATTTGTCTCTACAAAAGTGAAACGTGTTTAAGTTTCAAAAAAAAAAAGTAAAATTTATGAGTCGATAACATCAATTTTTGATCTAGTTATAAATCAAATTATATATAAAAATGTAAGAAAACAGGTTTTTTAAAATTAGGATTACAAAGTCGTTTGATTTAATTAAGTATAATCGTTTTTTTCAGTAAACACATTCATGTAAGCACCAAAGAAATACTTAAAAACGATTCCAATTTTAGTTTGCTTTCGAGGAAACCAACATTTTATATGAATACATACACTATATAATTCATGAAAACGCGTAAACGATTATAATACTTTTTAATTATAGTTTAATTCGCAAAAGTTAAATCATTAAACGAAGTACGATAAGAAGTACAAACAACTGAAGTTATAATAATTTGTATAGCAATTCCATAGTTGTAATTAATACCCAAACTGATATAACATTTTCGACAGAAGTTATTACAGTCAAAATAATATGTTTAAGAAACACCACCGATTAGGTATTATTTTCTAAAAATCGTTTCACAGTCACAGTTGTGTCAGAAAGAGCAAAGGAAATCAAAAAAATAAGGGTGATCTACCCTTGTGTAAACTGAATAATGTAGATACATTTTTTCAATATTCGGTTCAGCTCATATAACGGACCCATCGGCGTTCAGAAATAGGTTCAGGTGCGCTGTCTGTACCATCTGCCGCCCCTTTGCCAATATTATTTCTACTGTATGCCGGTCGACATCTAATTGACATAAAATATATATTTTCAGTTTCATAAAGAAGCTAACAAATTCGATTTTTTTATACATTTTTATTATTTATAAATAAATTATTTTCGCAGTAAACTTATTACTTTTTCTTTTTTTTAATGTACTATCATAATTTAATACTATATAAGTAATTTCTTTTTTGTCTCGTTCCTCACAAATAGGGTCGGCCAGGTTTTTTTTTCATTTTTGTTTTGATTTTCCTTTGACTTACTCTTTCAATTGACAGTAGCCTATACAGTTAAGAAATCCCTACAATTTCAGATCCCTAGCTCAATTATTCTAAGATTTTTTTTTCATTGATTAACATGAGAAATTACAATTTTTTATTAAAAGATTCCGACTTGAAAACTAATTAAAAGATTTTCAATTTTAAAAAAATCTTAATTATTAAGCTAAATTAAAACATTTAAAAATCCTTCTTTTGATTTCGTGATAACATTTTTTTTTAGCAAGTTATCAGTTTTATTAGTTTCAACTATCATGAAATATCAATAGAGTGATATTGAAGTATCATACTTCAGCTTAAGGAATCCCTTTTTATATTGTAAAAATGTTTACTTACTTTTCAAGTAAGAATATTTCATGTTAGTTAAATAGAAATAAAAAAAATTCACGGGGAAGTACTTAGAGAGCTAATCTAGCGTTCTAAAATTATAGCGGTTTGCTATTTAAATAAACTACTATCGATTGGGGGTATGTAAAAAACTGTTTTTATTTTTGACACAGTCTACCCAAATCCGTCACTATTTCTCGTGGTACATACAACGGTTAAACATTTTTCAATTTCAAAAGAAGAAATTGCACCTAATAACATCAAGATTACAACAGCTCTTTTCAAGTGCTAGCTCTTCAAGTTTACTTTTATCGGTTGTCGCACCGGAAACATCGACAAGTATTACAATGGCGGCAAGTTTCGGGAAAAACAAATATCCGTTTTACAGGCTACTGCGTACACGTTATAGTTGCGGTGTAGGGTAAGCGTAAGTGTAAACAACATCTTCATGCGCCACAATAATGGCTATTACGCGACGTGCAAAGGCAAACACACGAACGGCGAATGCGTTTGCCGGCATCTTGAACCGCGCCAAAGGTTTTTCAAAACCCTCGAACCGTGCGACGTACTCAGGGGTAGGGCAATTGGTTATTGGAATTTTCCACTTTGTCGGGCTGTACACATTGTGTTTAAATGTTTTTTTTTTTTTGCTATTCGATTCACTCGACCCGTTTTGTTTTTGTCCGCAGCAAGAGAGAAAAGCAGTGGTCGTACTCAGGGGACCGGGTCAGGTCACCGGTAACGTGACGTTCACTCAGTCAAGCCGAGGCGGTCCGGTAACCGTGACCGGAATGGTATCCGGTCTGACCGAAGGATCCCATGGATTCCACGTGCACGAGAAAGGAGACATGAGCAACGGATGCATATCCACCGGATCGCATTTCAACCCACAAGGGGTGAGTACCTTTTAGGACAACCGCTATAATATTATGTCCACAAGTATATAATTGATTGTGTTACTTACCCTATACACCCTGAAGCCGTTACTCGTTAGTTTTTTTATTACCGGCGATATGACTTCATAGTGAGGTCAATTACCGATTAGTACCCATCCAAGCCCTAACAATAATTATCTTGACACAATGCTTACAATACCTGTTTGTTGATCAACGTAGTCAGTGGCCGCCGTGGACGTTTTCCATAATGTATTCTACATATATTGTAAGAACGTAGATTCAAAGAAATCGACTTCACTTTTTTCTTTTAACTTTTTTTTTCAATTTTCTTCTTATGTTCTTATATTATTTTCTCTAATATGTATATGATATAATAATTACCCTTTACTGGTATGTTAAGATCTACTATGTCTCATCAAAGCTAAGTTCTTTGTATAGATACGAACGATAAATTATTTAACGGTAATTTTTTTAATTTTAATTTGAGTTATAAACAGAAAATTGCTTGTGACTTTCAATAGATATTTTATGGTCGAAAATTATATTACCATCGGTCGAAACCCATTAAATTCGTTCAAGGATTTCAAGTAAACTTAAATGTAATAATAATACATTTATATATATATATATAAATTAATTATTTGTTTAGTCTGCCAAACAAAAAATGTAATTTAGAATTTACCTTTGTTCCTTTAAATTGCATTAATACATTGTACATTATAGTATGCTCAGTAATATCGTAGTTATCTATAGCATACCTCCTCTTTTAATTTATTTTTAAGTTAGTAAAATATTACTTAGTCTTTTACTATGTTAAACAAAAAAAGTTCTAGTGATATTTTACCAAAAATAATTGACTGACCATAAACTATTTTCTACTAAAACCATTTGTTTATTAAATAAAAAAACGGTTTTAGTAGAACAAATTTTGTATGCGTTCTGTGATTGTCAACAATTTTTAAAATATAAAAATGTTTGATAATATTGAAAACAACGAAGAATAACACTAAAAGAAACGATTAAATATTTTTTGCTCTATTATACATTTTTTACTGATTTTTGGTTTGTATCATTTCGAATATGTTTTATTTATTTGTTGTCATACAAATAAAATAACGAAAAACAAAGTTGTATGGTTTGGTATGGTATTGACATTATATTTCATGTTATTACAATCTGGTTTTAAATTATATTCGATACAATTGTTGTTTGCGTTTGGTTTTTTTACTTGTAGTTAAAGTCGTAAGGTACAAAACTATTATTATCTTACACTGCAATGTTATTATAATATAAAATAAAACACTTAGAATGGATAATTTTATTTGTTTTTCGTACAACGACGATCGGCCGGTCGAACTAGAACTATTATCGAAGAAGTCAAATAACGCCAACAAACTATTTGAAAACTACTTTTTTGAACTGAGTCGTGCACTGGAAGGCCTAAAAGAATTTATTTAATTCCGGTGTTGTGATGTAAAAAACTTCAATCATTCGCAAAATACTCGACAATGCTTACTACATGTAGAATTAATTCCAATTTCTTTTCGACGGTCTTTCAAAAAACTATAGAAGTGATAAAATGATATACATACTAAAGTAGGCCAAACCGTATGGATTTCTATAGATACCAAACAGACTACAATCATATTACCTAACAAGAAAAATAAGCCCACGTTTTCCACCCTAGTCTTCACCTTCCACACGTTTCTATCGGAGTTGCCTTTTCTCTATCTATTTCACATGCCATCACTTCTGCTTAAACAGTTATTTCCATCGCCTCTTCTGTTACCGTGTAAATTTTGATTTAATCTTAAACTCGGTTGATCCGAAGAGAGATAAATAGAAGATACTAGGAGTATTATTCTTGAAATTGAATTTGCTTTGCCATAAACTTTACTTTAATTTGGCAATGCTTTAGATTCGCAAAAAAAAATTTTACTATTTCCTACTCTCTCTCTCTTTATGAGTATTTCACAGACGGTTTATATTTAATAGGTCCACATCTGTTTCAAAATTAATAGAAGAGTGTGTGTTTACACGATGGTTATACGTAAACAGCGATCGCGTGATTCGTCATTAACAAACGATTTCCGTTTATGAGATTTATGACGTTAATCACTTTGTGTTACAAGACGGTAATGACTTTCGGTTTAACGCTTGGGCGGCCGTCAATAACATGGATACCTACAGCGGTCGCTTATGATATTATAAACATATATTACAAGTTTTCGGTATAATCTTAATATACAAACGAATTTTGTCATTGCTGTCGTACGGCTCGGTTAAAGTATTTTATGTAAAAAAATAAAATAAATACAATTAGAGGCTTGTAACTAATCAGAGTTAGAAATCCATACCCTTCGGAATTTTCTATGTATTGTAATAACAAATCGGTTTAAAAACTTTGTAAACTCTGGTAATTGTACTGTGCGTTAATTACAAAGTATCGATTAACAATGTTATATTCAAACGTCTCGGTTTACAAACAAGCAGTTTATTACTTGTCAAGCCCTTCGATTGCTTTTAGACGAGACGCCGCTATGCCGTACACAACAGCATGATTTCTACAACGACTACAAAAAAAAAAAAAAAAGATGAAATAAGGAAAAGCTTTTCGATTCGATCGTCAACGGTGTATTTTCGCGTGTGACACCGCACATTGCACTGGCGAGACATTAATCACCATGTCGTTTCCCGAAGGATTTTTTTTTTCATACTCTTTTTCTCGACAAAAGGATTTTCTGGTATTGCGTTGATCGGGTGGGGCAAGGAGGGGGGGGGGGGGGGTAAGGGGCCTGTGGATAGAGTAAACGACCAAAGCGAGAAAAACGACGGTGACAAAAAAATAAAATAAAAACATTCCTTTTGCCTTGGATCTATTGGGCGACGACGGCATGTGCTGACGTCCGCTTGAGTAGCTGGTACCTCTACACGACTAGACGAGATGTTCGTGAAGTACATAGTACGCTATATGGTATGGAATAATATTTTATACATTACAAATTATCACGCTATTATTAATGTACAATAAGACTGTATAATAGTTACGTGATCGGGACTAAAAGAGGCCAAAAACGCGTGGGAAGTGTCCAGTGTGTGTGTGTGTGTGTGTGTGTTGAACGCGTTTAACTAGCTATTGTTTGTAAACACTGGCAGTTTTGGTTTTTATTTTCCGTTTTTCACAATGCCGACCATTTCAATTGTAGATACGTGCGCGTGTTGATCGAGTTCTTCACGGTCTTCACGAGGCGCTCAAACGTAAGGTAGTCGAGGAGGACCAACAAAAAATATATATTAGTAATAAAGTATAGGATCATTGGATAATAAAAACAAATTGAAAACCGATTGTCGAGGGCGTGGGAACAAAATATATATATATATATATACGAGTACATATTATCATATATATAATGCTATTGGACGAGTACCTCCTATATAATATCAAAAAATAGAACCACACATACACATAATACCATTGACTGGGTATAAGACGTGGAAGAAGGAGTTCAACCGGCTCTGATGATCACCGGCGATCGCGTTATCGTTAAGCGATTCCTAAGCCGACACTAGCTTCCTACAGGAAACAAAATCCTTATCTTCTATTTGAAGCGTTCAATTTTTACAATTGCACTTAACCATTACTACAGTTTTACCTAAAATGTATAACACTGTAAACGCCTACATTGTATTATTTGGTATTGGCAATAGTGCTGATCCGTCGGACTTACTAGATGGCTTAAGATCGCCAATGGCGTGTCCGTTTTAATTTAATTGGAAATTAATGACGGGGCCTGTACATAACACTTGCTGAAGCAGTATAGAGTTTCCACCGGTCCAGACGAGATATTAATTACATTATATGCAGCCAGAGCCGGCGGAACGTTGCTATCGAATTTGTAAATCAGCGTCTACAAATTAAATGGATAAGACAGCAACGGCGAGTGTGTATAGTTTTTTAAAAACACTTAGATTGGCTATCTGCTTATAGTAAATTATACTTCTCTCGTGTCTTTCAAATTGCAAAATTTCGAGACAAAACGAGGTAACAACTCGTTCTTATGCGTTTACATCTCAAAAAATATATTTTTCTCTCGCATTATATATTATATGTTATACATACAAATAATTGAACATCGCGCACCAGTTGGCGGTATACTTTGCACTATTATTATCTTATTTAAAACATAGCTTATTTCATTTACTTGTCCGTTTTCATCGTTTCAACCGGTGTATCAATATTAATTACTTTTGTTTATCAGTTCAAAAACGCACTGATGAATTCGCGACTGCATTATCTGGGCTTTTCGTTTAGTTTCATTCCAAATACATATATGATATTTACCTTTTAAAGGTTATCGACACCGCTCACTCACTAATATTAACTATTTACACCTAAATTAGTGCATACAATTTAATCATTTCTATTTCAGTATACTTCCACCCATTTAAACAAACATTGCCTTATCTTATTAATGAACCATAAAAATATTTTAAAAAATAACCATATTTGCATAGGTTCTTATGACGATAATAGATAACAAATTGAATTTACAATAGCCTAAAAGTGGAAAGTGGTTGATATCAAAACATACAATTTATTAAAACGTTCTGTTTAATGTTGGAAAAATCGTGGGCTCAAAACATGATTTATTATAGTTATTTATTTATTTTTAGTAGTCCAGTTTTTTCCCGTTGAGTTGACACTACAGGCTGTAGACTAATTGGTCGGTAAATAGGTATCTCTCGATTATTTCAATCGAAATGTGAAGTTAACAAAAAAATAAAATAAAATGTACATGCCTGACATACTATATATTATGTTATCGTTAGTGCAGCAAGTCGAAGCGAATTACTACACGCGAGGAAACCCCTCGCGAATAAGACGATGTCTAGAAAACTTTCCGTTCAGTAGAGCATGAAATTGGTCCATAATCAGTAGCCTTGGGAAATTTTCATCATTACTAATGGGTACACGAACATATATTCGTTGAAAGTCCTAA